GACATAATTCGAGGTACTGAGGATGCTGATCCCCAATAATGCTGTCCTGCTTTTTTCAAATGCTCACATTGGCAATAGTTAGATCTCTAATTCAGCGTGGATGAGGTCATTGTACTAAAATCATTATCAGATGCATAGCGGTTGGATGTGAGTGTAAGCGAGAACGAATCACAGCGCCCATGTCACCTCATGAGGTCATTAGTTGATTTGGCTAATCATTAACGGAATGTGGCGTGCCACTTAACGAGCTTCATGCCTGAATCGTGCCTACGAGAGAAAAAGCAAATTTTGAGATCTACGGCATTTTCCACGCCATATTACACTAGGATATACAGCATAACTTTTGCCAGTAGATGAGGACATCAAAAGCCATTTTATGGCAGGGCTTCCCACTCAAGGTACAGCACCCCTGTGAAGTACACAACGGATGCCTTGAGGTGGGCCGTAAACTAGCACCGGGGTGGGCCTCGAGAAATCGTAGTTGCCCTCTAGAAATTTTTTCGGCAGTTGAATTTTTCTCTATAGACGCCCATCATTGGCAGAACGGCATATAGGGAGGCTGTATTTTTGTCTACATGAGAGGGGATGTAAGTGTTTCCACACACGGGAAGATCTTCCCCATTGACTGATGTATCAGCTCCCATCCCTCCGAACCACTATGCAGCCAACTTCTCAGCAGGGTACGGTAGCGTTTGGGTAGTTGATCGGAAGGATCCCTGCTTGACGGTAAATCTTATCAACGTCGGTAAATTCATTTAAGTGAGTCCGTGAGCATATAAGTAAAGGTAAAGTTCAGTAAACTGCGTTGCAAAGAGTAAAAAGAAGGAGAAATGTTGACAAGGGGGATCATATTTTACAGAATTCTACATAGAGCTATACCGTGTCCTGTTTCCTCCAGGGCACTGGCCAAGATGCACCGGCGCCCAACATTACGGTAGGTTTAGCACTTGCTGCGCATCTACGTCCTACCCCAAATATAAAGCACCTCAATCGATAATTCAGTTCATCGAGTTTTGAAATTTGGGTTTCTTACATGGCGAACAAGTCACCAGTACCTTTTAGCAATCAAAGTTGCTCAAGCTTCAGAGCTGCACCACGTCTGGCAATTGCCCATAGACGAAGATGGTTTTCGATCATTTCCTCTATCAGTCTACCATCTGAACGTTGAAAAAGGCTAGTGAAAGGACAAGAGAAATATCAGAGCAGCCCATCAGCCCAGGATTTGTTCAGGTCAAGTATTCTTTTCGAGTGGTGAGTTGCAGGTACAGGAGACGATTACAGTGGTATAGGGAAAAACGAAATGAGGGCATTTTACTGTTTATTGCCTCACCCTTCGAAGTTCAGGCCAGATTTCGATCGCAAATTTCGTTATGGGGTATATTTAGCTAAAACATATTTCTCTGAAGTAATTTGACTCCTGATCACGAGTATCAGGTCTTTGAAGCGAAAGTGTGTAGTGTCCGCCCACTGGCGCCAGCGTTCCACGTATTGGTGACCGTAGCGCACGTTTCAATCGTTTCCAGGCTGAGCTAGTGCGATATTCATGTTGAGGCAATCCAGCTTCCGCCAGGAAGAAAGTATTGGCGGAATTCGGCCAAA